AATAAAGAATAACTAAATAAATGGAAAGATAGTACATGTTCATAGATAGGAAGACCCAATATTGTCAAGATGTCAGTTCTTTCCAACTTGATCTATAGATCAATCCCAATTAAAAATACCAGCCAGTTATTTTGTGGATAGAAACAAACTAATTCTAAAGTTCATATAGAGAGGCAATAAGACCCAGAATAGCCAACACAGTACTGACGAAGAACAAAGTTGGAAGACTGACATGACACGCCTTTAAGACTTACTACACGGTGTGGTGGCTCATACTGGTAATCCCAGGACTTCGAGAAGCCAAGTCAGAATGTTCACTTGAGGCCAGGAGCTTAAAATCAGCCTGGGCAACTAGTAAGATGCTGTTTCTACAAAAATAAATAAAAAGAAAATTCTAAAAATGGACTTACTATAGAGGTACAATAATCAATACAGCATGTTATTGGCAAAAGGACAGATCAATGAACAGAACAGAGAGACCAGAAAAAGATTCATATAAATATAGTCAACTCATCTTTAACAAAGGAGCAAAGGCAATACAATAGAACAAAGTCCTTTGAACAAATCGTGCTGGAACAACTGGACATCCACATACTGCAAAAACAAACAGATGGATAAACAAACAAATAAATCCAGACACAGACCTTACTGCCTTCACAAAAATTGACTCAAAATGGATCATAGACCTAAATGTAAAATGCAATACTATAAATCTAGAAGATAACATAGGAAAAAACTAGATGACCTTGGGTACGTGTAGAAATTACATGAGAAATCTTTGTACCTTCCTCTCAATTTTCCTGTGAACCTTAAACTACTCTAAGAAATGAAGTGTTTAATATAGAGGTGTTTTTAAGAAACAATGGGCAGAGATCCAGCTCTAAAACAGCACCCTGACAGCTTCTCACACACTTCCCAGTGGGGGGCTGAGGGAGAACCTGGGAGAAATCATTTTTAGAAAAACCCACTTAAAGTCTCTGAAAATTGTCTTAAAGACATACATCAAATAAAGACACATTTATTCAAGAAAATTTACTAAATTCCTGTAAGAAAAGTGAGAGTCTGTGGTACTCAGTCATGGCCCATTCCTTTCCTTCCCCTATGTTTCAGCAGAAGGGAAACTCTACTGTGGGAGGATATGGCCAAGAACACTGGGATCACAGTCCCTCCAGCTCCCAGTCAAGGGCTATGGTATCTCCCCTAGGAGGAGAAGGCTGCCAGAGTTTCTCACCTCCCTACCTCTGCACAGCAGAGACAACATTTGAGATCACTGTGACCAAGAGGTCAGGGACTCCCTTCCTCCACTCAACTATAAGGCAAAGATTCTGTGGGCTGGGAATACTGGATTCCTGGTCACCTTTTCTCCAGCTACTTCATAGGGTGGAGGTTCCATGCCAGGAAAGTCCAGCTGAAGTTGAAAAGACCAGAGGCCACTACCCCACTCAGCACCATGCCCAAAAAGCAGATGGATCACTCCAGAAGAAGCAAGCCACTGTCACCAACCCCAACTCCAGAGCAGTGGCTCAGATATGTTGCTGCCCAGGGGAGAGTCATGCCTTATGAACAAAGAGCTCTGAAGCTGTCCTCAAGTAAACTGACTTATTTGGAACAGTGTGGGAAAGTTCAAGGTTAAGGGTACTGCCAAAAACAATGGCAATTTTGATGGTAGGCAATTAAGAGGAAATGAGAAGTTTGATAAAAGCAACAAGCTCAACTATAGTCCAGCTAGATTGCCAGAGAACCAGTGAAAGAGACTGTAAAAAGTAACCCTCTTGGAGTGAAAACAAGAGAAAAGGGAAGATAAAGAATAAGAAAGAGGCCAGGCGCAGTTGCTCATCCCTGTAATCCCAGCACTCTGGGAGGCCAAGGCAGGTGAATCACTTGAGCCCAGGAGTGTCAGATCAGCCTGGGCAACAGGGCAAAACCCTATCTCTTAAAAAAAAAAAAAAAAAATACAAAATGTAGCCAGGCATAGTGGTGCGCACCTGTAGTCCCAGCTACTCAGGAGGCTGAGGTGGAAGGATCTCCTGTGCACAAGAGGCTGAGGGTACATCGAGCCATGATCATGCCACTGCACTCCAGCCTAGGAGACAGAGAGACCCTGTTTCAAAAGAGACAAAAAAAAAAAAAAAAAAAAAAAGAACAACAAAGAAATATTTTAGACCTCCAGTTAAAAATGGCAAACTGGATATACATTTGATTTTGCATCCTCTTAAAACCACCAAAATAATTTATTTTTTAAGGCATAAAGCTGAAAGGATGACAAGAGAGGAGACCCTTTTGGAGGCTAGGAAGCAGAACAAATGTAAACTTCTCAACAAAACAAGAAAGCTAGATATAATGGGACAAAACCTTCAAAATTATAAAGGAAAATTATTTTCAACTAAAATTTTATACTCAGACTAAATATGATCATATTTGAATAGGTCAAGTTAGAATTAAGATGTTTTCAGTTTTGTAAGTTCTCAAAAAATTATCTTCAGTGTACCTATTTCTCAGGAAGTTACTGGATATTTACTTTCCCAGAACTGGACAAATTGAGAAAGAGAAATGCCTTTGATGCAGGAAGTAGAACCAACCTAGGACAGATGCAAAGGGAATCCCCAGCATGGTGACAATGTGACAATCCAGGACAACAGCTGTCTGTGATGTCAAGCCAGACCAGGGCAGGCTGGAAGGTCCTGAAAAGCCTTTCTCAGAAAGATACAGAATCCCTGATGCAGATATATTTATTCATAGAAGATTTGATAAAGATTTGAGGGTTGGATTAGTATAAAGTAATAGAAAACCAAGCAAACAAACTTTATTAAAAAGGCAATTATCTTCGGAGAAGACCGAAAGTTATGCAGAATAAGAAAAGTAATCAATTTTCTACATGGCTCCACTGCTGTAAATGGTATTTACAGGCATACCTCGGAGATACATTGCAGGTTCCATTCCAGGCCACTGCAATAAAGTAAGTATTACAGAAAAGCAAATCACATGAATTTTTGGTTTCTTAGTGCATATAAAAGTTATGTTTACACTATAAGGTAGCCTATTTAGTGCATAATACTCTTATGTCTAAGAAAACCTAATGGGTATACCTTAATTTAGAAATACTTTGTTGCTAAATAATGCTAATGATCATCTGAGCCTTTGAATTCACAACGTAAGGCCTAACATTCAGCCTATCTGCTTTCACAGTGCCTTCCTCTCTAAGCTTAGTCACTTCTAGCTTTCAAATTTAAATGAAAGACATGTGATATGACTTTTGCTTTCACTTAAACACTTATAAACCACTGTAGGGACACTAATTGGCCTCATTTTAATATTATTGTGTCTTGGGAATAGGGAAACCCAACGTGAGAGAGAGAAATGGGGAAATGTCTGGTTGGTAGAGCAGTTTGAACGACTGGCAATTAAGTTCACCGTCATACAGTGCGGTTCATGGCACCCCAAAACAATCACACTTGTAACATCAAAGATCACCATAACCAACATTATAATAATGAAAAAGTTTGAAATGTTGCGAAAGTTACCAAAATGTGGCACAGGGACATCATGTGGCACAGGAACATGAAGTGAGCAAAGGCTATTGAAACAATGATGCCAATAGACTTGCTCAATGCAGGGATGTCACAGATCCTCAACTTGTAAAAGGTGCAGGATCCATAAAGAAAGAGACGTACAATAAAATAAAGTGTACCTGTGCAAAGTAAACACTGAATATTGATTTAAACAAAACTATAACCAGTTTGGGTAGAGGAGGAAGACAGGAAGCATACTTCAGGAACACATAGTTGGGAAGAACAAAGCTAAATCTTCACCTTCTATGGTTGGGTGTCAGTAGATTATGCCTGAAACTGAAAAATCAGCAAGTACCAATCCAAGCATGGTACTTAGAGAACTGAGGTAAATGCCTAAAGCATGAGCACAGGTGAAAGTGACTGCCTCTGAAGGAGAAGAAAGGTAGAGTGTGGGACTGACGATTTCCATAACAAATTTTGAAAAACTGACTCTTTGAAAACTGGGTACATGATAACCTTGAATAAATTTCATAAATATAAACATGTTTCTATATCTTCTATATCACTTCACTTTACTCAGCAGTATTCCGTTTTCAGAGTAACTAGTTTATATTAGTATCAAAAAGTTAATTTTCTCTGTCTTAAAGGCATTCATATGGAGGCTAGACTAAATATACAGAAATTCCACTTTTAATAATAATAGCTACCATTACTACGTTCCTAGTGCTGTACTAAGCACTTATATTATCTCCAATCCCCACAGCAGCCATGCAAAGTAGGTACTGTTTCCATTTGACAGATAAGAAATTGATGCTCAGAGAGATTAAATAATTTGCTAGTATGTAGCAGAACTCTCTGATCTCAAAGCCTCTGTTCTCCTGGATCACATCGCCTCCCTCTAGAGTATGAGCTCAAAAGAACTAGGGGCAGGGGGAGGGCAATGTAGCACTTCAAAAAACTCCTTTGGGGGAAGGGCAGGGAAGCAGAAGAGAAACACCGAAGGATTCAGCAATACCACTAGGTAGCGGTCTACTCATGTAACCAAGTTTAACCCCCAGTCGAAATTTCCAGTTAGTCATGTGAGCAAGGGAAGCAATTTTTAAACTCTGGCCAGGAGCCCCAATGCTTACAAAAATAAAAGCTTTGTTCTGCTCTTATTTTGAAATAAAATAGATGTTCCAGCTGCTCCAACATGGGTCTAAACACCCTAGTGAGAATGCTGAGGACACAAAGTTTTGTGCCCAGAAAAGCCCAGTCATCATTATAAAACTGATCTCTGAAAGGGTTGGGGGGACAGATGGCATAGCTGCTTCCTAAGAGAATGAGTAGGAGGTGACCTGGGTCTGACTGCCACACTGACTGGGAGCTAGGACCATGTGATCCTGAGGAGTTTCTTCTGAACAAAATTCCGGGTTGTGTTTATCTTGCAGTTTAAATCACCGGGAGCTTCGAGAGTTCTTTGGCTACTTCTCTTTCTGGAATTATTGTGTGATATAATCAAGACATTTACCTGGCTCTTTAAATCAGTGTGGGTAAAGAATTCATGATGATGGAAAATAAAAAGTTGTTTACATTTACCTCATTTCTGAAAAGTCATGGGCCACTGGCAAGTTAAGAAACGAAAGTGAAATCAGCTGATAGTGACATCAGTCAGAACAAATGTACCAAAGTTCAGAGAGTTGTTTACTAGGCACGACAGCGAATGCAAGGGGGCACCAGCTCAGGACTGCATCTGCCTGCCATTTCGCTTCCATTCCTCCTTTCTGGAGTCGGACATTAGAAAGCCAGGGAGAAGGAAGATTCAAACAACCAACCCTGATTTCCTGCTCCTCCTTTTCATGAGTGCTCCTGTGGGCTCTGTACCTCCTTTCTGTAAGTACCGATCCTGCAAGCATCACAGCTTACCCAGACATCTACTACCTTGTAAGACAATTTTGTTTTCTTCTCAGATGTTTCTCATTCCGGCAATCCGCATAGGGGAACTCGCTGGCTGTTCCGTGTCTGTGACCTTCCCTCCCTCACGTCTGTAAACTCTACCCACCTTTACTCTCTGCTCTCCTTCCTTCCATTCCTCAGCATCAACCTAAGTAGCTCTGGCCTCAAAGATGATGAAAGTAAGGCCAGTATAACTGGTTAGAAGGATGCAGGGCTGACCACGCACAGCAGGGTCTTGCACGCAGCATGTACAAGGACATGGCTGTGGCTTGTGCTATACACTGTTCATCAGAAACAGGCAAACAAGAGCAGGTCACTGACCAGCACTAACAAAACCACTATTCAAAGGTAGTTACGAAAACACCATAAAACGTTAAGATACACACTGAAGATTAATATGGACGAAAGACTTGTGTTCTTGCGTCAAAGAACAGGACCTAACGGATGTTTAGACCCTACGTTAGTTATTAGACCAGATTGCTTCTCATGCCCCAGTGGAAATCCATAGTGGTATTTTAGTTCTCTTGGTCTATATTTTAAGAGATCATTTTTTAAATGTGGGCCTCGTTTCTATAATAACTTCCACTATGCTTCTTCGCCTATAAAAATCAAAGGCTCCTTTGAGAGAGGGAAAAGATGCATAGCTCCTTCTTTTCTTCTCTCATGGTAACTGAAGAGCATTTTTCAATATCATCTTCCCATACCCCATTCCCCAAAATCTCAGGTCTGAGACTCGGTCTTTGAGAAATTCTTTCAATCTTTCACATATTCCTCTTTCTCAAATTTCTTTCCAGTTTAGTCCCTGCTTTATCTAATTACTAAGGTTGTTTTGATTGCCTATTTTATAAATTTCATTTTTTTCATAGATGTAGCCCATAATTCTAAAAATATTTTGATGCAAATAGAGAACAATTGCCTGTAATGTCACCACCCAGAGCTACCCCAGCTAACATGAACATTTTCAAATACTTCTTTAGACCCTTTCTCCTATTCATCTTTATATGGATGTAGTCACACTATGTAGAATGATTTTATACCTGCTTTTTCTAAAAGATGCATAGTATTTTATCCTTGATATGTCATAGTTCACTTCTAATATTGGACTTTCCAGCTGTTTGCCATTTTGTGCCAAAAGCAATGCTGTGCTGAATATTCCTATGTATAAACTATTTACTGCATTTCTGATTGCTATCTTAGGATAGATTTATAAAAGTGGGCCAAAGAGATATGACTATTTTTAGTTTGGTGTTCGTTTGTTTGCTTGTTTGCTTGAAGATGGAGTCTCACTCTTCTTGCCTAGGCTAGAGCACACTGGCGCAATCTCAGCTCACTGCAACCTCCACCTCTGGGTTCAAGCGATTCTCCTGCCCTAGCCTCCCAAGTAGCTGGGATTACAGGCACCCACCACTACACGTGACTAATTTTTTGTACTTTTAGTAGAGACAGGGTTTCACCATGTTGGTCAGGCTTGTCTCGAACTCTTGACCTCAGGTGATTCACCTGCCTCAGCTTCCCAAAGTGCTGGGATTACAGGCGTGAGCCACTGCACCCAGCCAGGGGTTTTTAATGTGTATTGCCAGTCTGCCTCCCTGAAAGTTTGTACAAATGTTCACATCCACCATCATTGTGTGAGAATGCCAGTTTTACCACACTGTTGGTATCATCAAGTGTTTTTTACCTACAGCATTGATAGGGAAACTCAGGTTATTTTACTTGGTGTATCTTTGATTATATTAGAAAAGTTCCAGAGTTTTTTTCATGTTAGTTAACTACTTTGCATTCTGTTTGAATTCTCTCTTCATATTTGTCCATTTTTAATGTTTAATGTTTGTTGACAGTTTGCATAAACATTTTAAACATTAAGTACATTAAATCATTTCATATTTGTGGTAGATATTTTCCATGCTCATTGACTTTTAATTATATTTATGTTGCTTTGGTGAATAGAAATCTATATTTTAGAATAATTACATCTGTGCAATTCTTTCAATATAGTTGCTATTTGCTTTTAAGTTCCAAATTTTATTTCTCACTCATAAATCAAATATATACTTTTTTCCAGAACTTTGATTTTTTATCTGTTTTCACCTTTTACTCTTAGATCCATGTGAAATTTATTTGGGTATGTGGAGTGAGATGAGGACCTAAAATAGTTTTGTTTCTCTTTTCTAGTAAGCTAATCAATTGCTTCAGCATTAATGAAGAACTCCTTTCAGGCTTCAAAACAAATGTCTCTTCTGCAGTGAGGCTTTCCCCGACCCTATAATCTAGAGTCATCACTTCCTCTGCCAGTTTCTCTCCCTCACTCACCCGGTTTATTTTCTTCCCAAAGCTTTTCAAAAATTATAATTATCTTTTTAAAAATACATCTGGTGTTTGCCTTTCCAACCAGAGTGCAAACTCAATGAGAGCAGGCACCTGGTTTGTCCTGTGTGGCACTGATTTCCCAGGGCCTCTGATTCAAGGAGTCATTCAAAATGTGTCACTAATAGGGTCACAAGATAAAATGCTGACTCCATCAGCCGAAGGGGGTGGCAAATTGCCTTCATAATTGCAGAAGAGAGAGCTGAAGCAGGAAAACTAGCCACTGACAGCCAAAGCCAGTCACCAGTTTCTGGTACTACTGATTCTCAAACTCTGTTTGAATCTTGTGACTCTTAGCCACCCATAAACTGGACCATGGAGTCCTGCCAATAAAATGTATTTTTAAATCTTGTAATATTAGCTGGGCATGGTAGCTGTCGGCAGACTCCTGTAATCCCAGCTACTTGGAAGGCTGAGGCAGGCAAATTCTTGAACCCAGGAGGCAGAGATTGCAGTGAGCCAAGATGGTGCCACTGCACTCCATCCTGGGTGACAGAGCGAGGCTCCATCTCAAACAAACAAACAAATTCGGATGGGTCATTTGTAGACATTTCTCATTTTTAAGGATTTTCTTTTCCCTCTAAACTTTCTGTAATATTTTTTCCCACTTGGATTATCTGCTAGTAGGAGGTAATAATCAATAAAACAATTGTACAGATAGCAAGTTAATTAATATTAATGGAACCAATTAAACAGCTATCTCAATGGCTTCTCATCTGGGTGCCTGGACTTACGCTTCTGACTTTATATTACAATTTCATGGTATAGTCCTATTTCTCTGATAAAGCTGTTTTGTTTACATGGAATAATTAAGTATATAAAAACATCACAGCATTCCATAAAAAGCTTGATGGTAGGGAATGGCTGTCCACATAAAACACTGTGAAATCCAGGAGCTGCCACCACCTACACACTGTTGAGAAACACTGCAGTAGCCCCGTTTTAAAAAAAAATTAGAACCTGGACTCATGTTTCTGCCAAAGGAAATATGACACATTTCCCTTTCTTCTTCCCTTTTTATTTTCGTGACAGCCGCACCCATGAACACGCTGATCTTCAATGTGTTGTGCCAGAAATATTTTACCCAGGACTGGTGGCCTCCAACACCCTTGTTCTATGCCCAGGCAAGTTCTGTTGCCCCGGCTTTCTTCTGCTAACATTTTCTTCCCAGTTCTCTCTCTCCATTCAGGTGACACACCCAACTGTCTCTACATGACTCTCTGTCAGTTCCCGTTTCTCCCCTGAGCTATTGCTTCAGCATCATGATCAGAGCAGACACATCGGCCCAGCTTGTGCCAGGCCCCAATCCTCCTATATGCAAGTTAAATTTTTTCAGTCTCACAACAGCCCATGAGGAACATGACAACTGACGCATCAAAGATGAGGACGTGAGGCTCAGGCTGGCTACCTTCGCTAGCCCAAGGTCACATGACTAGTAAGTGACAGAACAGCGACATGCTCCCAGGCCATCTGGCTCTAAAGCCCATGCTCCTTTGCCACACTGTGCCACCTCTCAACAGGACAGCTGCATCCTGCAATCAACGCCACCAAACATAAATGAGGCCAGCTTCCTAGAGTTCATCTCTGGGAATGAACGCTGGCACTATTTGTCTTCCTAGAATTTCATCACTGTCAGGCTGGTAGCCTGGGCTTAACTCTGAGCCTCAGTTTTCTCTCTATAATAATAACAATTTAAATAATACTTACTGGGTCATGTTGTAAGTGCCACGCACAAATAACTTCATTTCATTTCCATAACATCTATAAAATAAGTTATATAATTATAGCCATTTTACAGATCAGAAAACTAGGCAGAAGGATGTTAAGTAACTAAGGTCACAGAGCTGCTGAATGGAAGAGCAGGGTCTTGAACCCAGCAGCCGTAGCTTCAAGGTCCATGCTCAGAACCAGTATTCCACACTGTCTTTACTCTATCGAATGGGAACAGTAATATGAATGTCCACACATGGGTGCTGTGAAGATTAATTGAGTTAATGCATGTAAAGGGCCAGACACCCAGTTAAAGGTAGATCCTCATGGTGATTAATAACACAGCCTGATCGGCTACCATCCACTGGCTGTGCAAGCTTGGGCAAATTACTGACCCTCACTAGGCCTGTCTTCTTCTCTGGAAAATGAAGACGAAAAACTAACTCTACACATATGGTTGTAAGAAATTAATAAGATAGTACTTGTTAAGTGCTTAGCACAGGGCCTGGCATATAGTAAATTCTCAAGAGATTTTGAGGTCTGTTTTCAATTATTAAGTTCTCACTAAAATTAGATTCCTTCTCAGACCCCTTCCACTGATCAAAGAGTCCTATCAAAGCAAATTCTCCTCTCCCTGGTCCCCTTTGGCTTTCTGAAATCATTAATGAAAAGAAAGACCCTAGGATCCTAATGGCTTACCTGTTTTTTCTTTTAATATTCTATTCTGCAAAATTTGCAAAGTACATAATGTTTAACAGCAGCAAAATTAAAACATGTTAAGTTCCATGCAGCAGTCCTCAAGGCCATGATAGCAACTGTTGCTGATGGTACCCTGTAGGGAAGGGGCTGCCAAACTACGCATCTGACAAAAGCCTAATATCCAGAATCTACAAGGAACAAAAACAATTCAACAAGAAAAAACAACCCCATTAAAAAGCGGGCAAAGGACATAAACAGTCAACTTTCCAAAAGAGAACAAACATATGGAAACACATGAAAAAATGCTCAACATCACTGATCATCCGAGAAATGCAAATTAAAACCACAATGAGATACCATCTTATACTAGTCAGAATAGCCGTTATTAAGATATCTAAAAACAACAGATGTTGACAGGGATATGGAGGAAAGGGAATGCTCATACATTGTTGGTAGTAATGTAAATTAATACAACCTTTAGGGAAATCAGTATGGTGATTTCTCAAAGAACTGAAAATAGAACTACCATGCAATCCAGCAACCCAGGGTATCACATTTATTGATTTGCATATGTTGAACCATCCTTGCATCCCTGCAATAAATCCTATGTGATCATAGCGTATTATCTTTTTGACGTGCCGTTGGATTTGATTTGCTAGTATTTTGTTGAGGATTTTTGCATCTACATTCATCAGGGATATTGGTCTGTGTTTTTGTTTTTTGTTGTATCCTTGTCTGGTTTTTGTTATCAGGGTGATACTGGCCTCAGAGAATGAGTTGGGGAGAATTAATTCCTCCTTGATTTTTCTAATAGTTTTAGGATTATTGATATTAGTTTTTCTTTGTATGGTAAAATTTGGCTGTGAATACATCTAGTCTTAAGCTTTTTTGGGAGTTTTTTTATTATTGACTCAATCTCACTACTCTTTACTGGTCAGTTTAGAAGTTCTGTTTCTTCCTGGTTCAATCATCTCTTTTTGGTTAATCTCGCTAGTGGTTTATCAATTTCGTTTATCTTTTCAAATAATCTGCTTTTAGTTTTATTGATCCAAAGAACCAACTTTTAGCTTCATTGATCCTTTGTAAATTTTTTGCCTCTATCTCATTTAGTTCTGCTCTGATCTTTATTTCTTTTTTGCTAACTTTGGATTTGGTTTGTTCTTCTTTTTCTAATTCCTTGAGGTACAATGTTAGGTTGTTAATTTATGATCTTTCTACTTTTTTGATGTAGGCATTTAATGCTACAAACTTCCCTCTTAGCACTGTTTTTGCTGTAACCTGCAGGATTTAGTACAATGTGTTTTTTCATTTATTTTAAAGATATTTTTAATTTCTGTCTTAATTTCTCCCTTGACCCAGTAATTGTTCAGGAGTATGCTGTTTAATTTCTATGTATCCGTATAGTTTCCAAAGTTCCTCCTGGTATTGATTTCTAGTTTTATTCCACTGTGGTCTGAGAAGATACTTGATACAATTTCAATTTTTTAAAAAGTTTGTTAAAACTTCTTTTGTGGCCTAACATGTGATCTATCTTGGAGAATGTTCCATGTATTGACAAAAATAAATGTATATTCTGTAGTTGTTAGGTAGTTTTATAAGTAAATTTGGTCTAAGGTTCAATTTAAATATAATGTTTCTTTGTTAATCTTCTGTTCCAATGATCTGTCTAGTGTTGTGAGTGGAGTGTTGAAGTCCCCTACTAGTATTGTATTGCTGTCTACCTCTTTCTTCAGATCTAGTGATACCTGTTTTGTGAATCTGGGTGCTGCAATGTTGGGTACATACATATTTATGATTATTGCATCCTCTTGCTGAATTGATCTCTGCATCATTATACACTAGCCTTATCTTTTTTTCTGTTTTTAATTTAAAGTCTGTTTTATCAGATATAAGTATAGCTATGCCTACTCGCTTTTGTTTTCTAATTACATAGAATATCTTTTTCCACCCCTTTGTTTTTAGTCTATATGCCTTTATGAGTAAGGTTAGTTTCTTGTAGGCAGCATATAGTTGGATCATGTTTTTTAATCCATTCTGCCAATCTGTATCTTTCAAGTGCAGCATTTAATCCATTTACATTCAAGGTTATAGATCTGTGAGACTTTGTTTCTGTTATATTGTTTATTGTTTTCAAGTTGTTTTATAAATTGTGTTTGCCTTTTTTACTTTGTGTTTTGATGAAACTGTCATGTTGCCATTCGATTCCTTTCTTTCTCTTCCTTTGTGTGATTGTTTTATACAAACTATGCATTTTATATTTCTGTATGTTTTTTTTTTTATGGTGAATATTAACCTTTTGGCTGGACATGGTGGCTCATGCCTTTAATCCCAGTGCTTTGGGATGCTGAGGCAGGGGGATGCCAGGAGTTCAAGACCAACCTGGGCAAAATAGCGAGATCTTGTCTCTACAAAAAAATTAAAAATCAGCCAGGCATGGTGGCACATGTCTGCTGTCCTAGCTAGTCAGAAGGGTGAGGCAGGAAGATTGCTTGAGCCCAGAAAGTCAAGGCTGCAGTGAACTATGAATGTGCTACTGCATTCCGGGCTGAGTGACAAAGCAAGACCCTATATCAAAAATAATTAATTAAAAACATCATTCATTTCAATGTTTAAGATCCCTTTGAGCATCTCCTGTAGTACCAGGAAACAACAAATTCCCTCAGCATTTGCTCATATGGGAAGGACTTTGTTTTTGTTTCTCCTTTCATAAAGCTTATTCTGGCAGGATACAAAATTCTTTGCTGACAGTTTGTTCATTTTTTTTTTCCCTTTAGCACTCTGAAAAATGCCATCCCATCTCTTCTGGCATGTAAAGATTCTGCTGAAAAGTCCTCTATGAAGTGATGTGATTTGAAATTTCATTTATAGGTGACTAGCCACTTTTCCTAATTTTAAAATTCTTCCACTTGATTTCAGGCATTTTGAATATAATATACCATGGTGAAGTCCTTTTGCAATGTCTTTTCCTGGAGATCACTGGGCATCCTCTATCTAGATGTCTAACTCTCTTGATAGATTTGGGAAATTTTCATTATTTCTTTAGATGTGTTTTCTAAACTTTTTAATTTCTCTTCCACCTTGGAGATACCAATAATTTATAAGTTCAGTTGCTTCTTGTAGTCCCAGATATCTCAAAGGCATATTCATTCTTTTTTATCCTTTTTTCCTCATTTTTGTCTGGATTATTTCAAAAGTCCTATCTTCAAATTCTGAGATTCTTTCTTCTGCTTGGTGTAACCTCTTATTGAAGTTTTTGAGCATATGGTGTGTTTCCTTCCATGAATTTTTTAGTTCCAGAATTTCTACTTGTTTTTATTTAAGATGTCTATCTCCTTGATAAATTTCTCATTTATATTCTGGACTAATTTTCTGATTTCTTTGTATTAGTTTTCAGATTTCTCTTGCACCTCATTGAGCTTCTTTAAAAATCAGTATTTTGGATTCTTTATCTGGCATTTTGAAGAATTCTTTTTTATTGGGATCTGCTGCTAGACCGCTATTGTGGTTCTTTGATGATTGATATGGTTTGACTATGTCCCCACCCAAACCTCAACTTGAATTGTAGCTCCCATAATTCCCACGTTATGAGAGGGACCCAGGGGGAGGTAACTGAATCAGGGGAGTCGGTCTTTCCTATCCTATTCTCGTGATAGTGAATAAGTCTCATGAGATCTGATGGGTTTATCAGGGTTTTTGCTTTTGCTTCTTCCTTTTC